AAAAAAAAAAAAAAAAAAAAAAAAAGCAGACAAGTGTAAAACCCTAGCTACAAGAGAAATAGGTATTTCATTGACACTTCTGTCATGATTCAGTATACACTGATAAGCTCTCAATGGAGACCTCTCATAAATCAGGTGAATAATCCCATAAAGCAATGCCTGTCTTATAGTTGCCTCACGGGCTTGTTTTGAAGAGGAAATGAAATGTCACAGACTTGTGTGGATACCCAGTAAATGTCAATGTTACACAAGTTTTTACTTCATTTGATGCTGAAATGCATCCTGTACTGAGATACATCCAAGAAGGCTATACAGTCGCAATGATGAGGGCCCTGCTTTTTCAATACCCTGCTTAAGCTGATGAACTGGAGACTTCCGCCGGACTATGATCTGATTTGTAAATTTGAAGTAGGAACCGGGGAACAAAAAAGCACTTGTTTACAAGCACAAAGTCATGTTCTCTGATGCCATAATAGCTCTTGGATGAAGATGGGGAAGAAGAGAGTCATTCTGGTATTTCAGCATTGAGAAATAAGGTCTGAACAGGATTTTGTTGTAGAGGGTAAAGAGAAAAGAGACACGGGGGACAGAGTGGTCCAGCCCTACCTCCTCTTGCACTTTCTCTGCCCCTTTAGGACCTCAGCAGCATGGACCTCATCCGGCCCCGTGTCAGCCTCGTGTGCCAGATTGTCCGTGTGGGCCACATGGAGCTGAAGGAAGGCAAGAAGCACACCTGTGGACTCCGAAGACCTTTTGGAGTGGCAGGTACAAGAGAGACCCAGAGACAAATGTGAAATAGTGCAGTGCTATGGAAAATAGCATGGCAATTTCTCAAAAAATTAAACATGGAACTAGCAAATGATCCAGCTGCCCTGCTTCAAAACAATCAAAAGCAAGGTCTGGAGGAGATATTTGTACATCCATGTTTGTAGCAGTATTATTCACAATATGCAAAAGGTGGAAGTAACCTAGGTGTCCACCAGTGCATAAATGGACAAAGAAACTGTGGTGTGTACGCACAATGGAATATTACTCAAACAGGAAGGGAATTCTGACACATGCTACATACAGCGTAAATGAACCTTGAGGACTTTACACTAAGTAAATAAGCCAGACACAAAAGACAAATATTGTATGATCCCACCTATGTGAGGCACCTAGAGTAGTCAAATTCGTAGAGACAGCATAGAATGGTGAGTGCCAGGGGCTGGAGGGGGAGAATGGGGAGTTAGTGTTTAATGGGTATTGAGTTTCCATTTGGAAAGATGAAAAAGTTCTAGAGATGGAAGGTGATGATGGTTGCACAATAATGTGAATACACTTAATATCACTGAACTGTATACTTTAAAATGGGCAAGATGGTACATTTTATGTTATGTGTGTTTTACCACAATTTTGAAAATAGAGAGAGGGAAGGAAGGAGGAAAGGAGGAAGAAAGGTGGGAAGAAGGCCCAGAGATAGTAAGAGATGGATCACGTTGTCATTGTCAGTATCAGACACGCGGATTTACTGCCTGGCACTGCCCGTTTTCTTTTCATGGGTTCTGTGTCCTCACCTAGCCGACGCTCCTTTCTTTCCCCCTTAGTGCCCAACACTGTGTCTTATACACAGTAGAACCTAAGTTGTGACTATTGGAATCCTCCCTGTCTGGGTCTGCGTATTGATTTTAGTGGAATAAAATACTCGTTGGGAAGTGGTTTGCCTGTCTAGGAAATTAACTCTTCGAAGACAATGTTGTGTTTGTTTCTAAATGCTTTCAGAGAGGCTCCTTGGCTTACATCAAACCCCAGAACCTGCCAAAAGGCCCAGCATCTTCCTCTGTGGTTTGTTCAGTTCAGGAAATACAGTTTGGGCCTTACATTGACATTTTGGTTACTCATAGATCGAAAACGATCAAGGAAATGTCACAATTCTGCTCCTGGACCTTTGGTTCCAGACTTACTAAAAAGTAACCTGATGTTAAATTTCTCAAGAATTTAGCAACTCGGGCAGGGCACGATGGCTAATCCCTGTAATCCCAGCACTTTGGGAGGCTGAGGCGGGCGGATCACCTGAGGTCGGGAGTTCAAGACCAGCCTGGCCAACATGGTGAAACCCTGTCTATACTGAAAAAACCCAAAAGTTAGCCAGGCATGGTGGCATGCGCTGTAGTAGTCCCAGCTACTTGGGAGGCTGAGGCAGGAGAATTGCTGAACAGGGGAGGTGGAGGCTGCAGTGAGCCAAGATTGCGCCACTGCACTCCAACCTAAGCAAAAGAGCAAGACTTCATCTTTAAAAGAAAAGGAGAAGAATCTAGCAACTCGATCTTGTAAAGTTTTTAAAGTGGGTAGTCTGCAAAATTGATCCAGTAAAACCCAGACCCCTTCCTCAGCACCTCATGAGTCACTGTTTTGCTGGGCTGGGTATACTGGGAATCACCATTGGCAAAGAAATCTAAAAAAAAGTCCCTGCTTGGTACCTTTCTCCCTCCAGTGTTTTACGTTTGCTGATCCTGTTCTTTTCCATAGTAACTTACTGAGGCATGAAGCAATTAGTTTCTTTAATGAAGTTTGTCTTTTTCCTAGTGATGGATATTACTGATATCATACATGGGAAGGTGGATGATGAAGAAAAGCAGCATTTTATTCCCTTTCAGCAGTAAGTACTTTGGCATGTGTCCCAGATGACTTGAGACCTGGATTAGCCATTCAATTGTGTGTTAACACAGAAACAGGTGCTAGAAACCATTTTCTCAGAGAAGGAAGGATTCTAAGCTGCAAGATTGTCAGATAGGAGCTGAACAGAAAAGGACTTTGTTCAAAGTCCTTGATGTTGGACTCCCTTTGAAGAGGGTAAACTAAACTTCCCTGATTCTATAGAAAGGACCAAAGGAATAGAAAAGGGCAAATACCCGTCTGCCCTGGAATGCAGAGAGTGGTACCGTCCTTGTGTCACCAGTGCCAAAGTATATGTGCAGTCTATTGCATGAAACAGGCATCATGGAAGACACAGAATCACGTGGGCTAGCATAGGGCTTCTCAGACTACATCATGCATATGAATCAGGGGAGCTTGTTAGGCTGCAGGGGAGTTCTGCCTCTGACAAGCTCCCAGGTGATGCTGATGTAGCTGGTCTGAGGGCCACACTGTCTGAAGCGAGGGATTAGGAGATGAGAGAGTGAAGGGCTGGTCCACCCATGGGCTGGCATTCCTGCATGTCGGGGGAAAGCCATCCTGGGAGTGTGTGAAAGGATCCCTGCAGAGCTTCACTAAGGCCCTCCATATTGAGCTGTAGGAGCTGGAGCCATGGGTAGGCCATTGAGGAGCTGTTGGGAGCAGATTCAAGCCATGTCACTCTGAAGAGGTGCAAGTGTGAACATCGTGACCTGCTCCAGCACCGGCTCAGACAGTGTAGGCCTAGCGGAGGCCGAGAGCATTGCCGGGACCAACTCCCACCAGGGGCCATCGTGCCAGTCAGAGGGCATCATCTCAGTTCACTTGCGGCTGCCACTGCAGACAAGTAGAACAAACTGAGAATTCCACAAACCAGCCGGAATCATATATTTGAGTTAATATATCATTTGTTTACAAATGATATCACAAATTAGTGGAGAAAGATACGATGCAAAAAACAATTTTTTTGGAGAAAGTTAGCCATTTAAGATCCCTAAGTTAGATTCTAGTCTCACAACTTATGCCAGTGTAAATTTTAGATGATTAAACATACAACTATAAGAGCTAGAATCTTAAAATATTAGCAGGAAAATAGAAGTTTTATATGGTAGTAATGAGAAGGAGGCCATTTTAAAGATTCAACCAAAAAAAGAAAAATTGATAGATTTAACCACCCAAAAATTGTAAAGAACTTATACATATAAAAAAATCAATACAATCTTTGCAGTGTGTTTGAGAAAGGATGAGTATTTGTAGTATATAAAAAACTAATAGAGATTAATAAGGACATGAAGGGAATACACACACAGAGAAATGGCGTTGTACATTTATTGAGGATGAGTGAAATGCAAATTGAAACATCAAGGTTTAGTTTTTATCTTGACCACATTTTAGTGTTTGGGTAGATATAAAGAGACATACATTACTTATAGGAATATAAATTGTTACAATGCATTAAAAGCCTTAAAATTTAGATATTTTGAAAAATATATTCCATGATTAACAGTGATTATTTCTGTTGATGTAACTCTTGGTGATTTTGCCTCTGTTTTTGTTTTCCTGTTGTCTTTTTTTTATACAAAAATATAGATTATATGTAATATATAAAATATAAAAATTTTAATCTTTCAATGTTAAGTCCACACCTTTGGACCAGTTTCTAAACATAATAGTGCAAATAGCTCATGCTCAGTAGTACTTATCTCTTTTATTCAGAGGCTACTATGAATTATTTTTAAAATATGGCCATTGCACTTCATCCTGAGTGACAGAGCCATACCCTGTCTTAGATAAAATATAAAGTAAAAATAGATAAAGTAAAAGAATTAAAAAATAAAATGCACTTACCTTGTATGCTACCACCTATATATTGACCTTCCAAGACGGGACAAATATTTTATGTAGCACAGTGCTGAAGTTAATTATGTGATAACTTTCATCTCCATGAATGCTGCTCTTGTTTTGTGTATAATATAAAACACTGTATGCACACACCTGTATAAATATGTATTATATAATATATAAATATGTTTAAGTATATTTAATAAATATGTTGAATTTAATACAATGTTAATTTGTTAATTACATTTATAGATATGTTAAATACAATCATACATCACTTCGTGGCAGGGATATGTTCTGAGAAACATGTCGCTAGGCTCTCTTGTCATTGTGTAGACACCACAGAGTGCACTTACACCCGGAATGTATGGACTACTACACACCTAGGCTGTATGGTATAGCCTATTGCTCTTAGACTGTAAACCTGTCCAGCATGCTACTGTGCTGAATACTGCAGGCAATTGTAACACAGTGCTATTTGTGTCTTTAAACGTATTTAAACATAGAAAAGGTAATGAGTTGTGCTGAGATGTTAAAACAGCTATAACATCACTAGGCAATAGGAATGTTTCAGCTCCATTAACAATCTTTTTTTTGAGATGGAGATTCGCTCTTGTTGGCCAGACTGGAGTATAGTGGCGTGACCTCCGCTCACTGCAACCTCACCTCCTGGGTTCAAGCAATTCTCCTGCCTCAGCCTCCCGAGTAGCTGAGATTACAGGGGCATGCCATTACACCTGTCTAATTTTTCTATTTTTAGTAGAGACAGGGTTTCACCATGTTGGTCAGGCTCATGTCGAACTCCTGACCTCAGGTGATCCACCTGCCTCGGCCTCCCAAGGTGCTGGGATTACAGGTGTGAGGCATCATGCCTGGTCAGCTCCCTTATAATCTTATGGGACCACGGTCATCTATGCAGTCTGTCATTGACTGAAACATTGTTAGGCATATAACTGTATATTGAATAAATATAAATATATATATAATACTTACTAGATATAAATGCTGTACCATATATATTATAGTACTATGAATGTGTTATATTTGTATTTAAGATTATATGTACGTAATAGGAGTGGCCTTCATGGATATGAAAGGTGTCTGAAACAGTCATCTGTATATTTGCTGGTGGTGATGTGCCTCCTGCTTAATTTCTGAACCAGCTTTCCTCCAGCAACCATATCACAATACTTAGACCTGAGATTGTCCCCACTGCATAATCCACACTTTGAGTCCATGACGAACCCTGCCTTAATTTGATTACTGCTCACTGTGCCGCCAACAGCCACAGTGAAGTATTTACGATGTAGACTGCAGCCTCTGGCATTGAATGCCTAAGATTTACAGCAAGCACTGCCATAACCTACTTCAAAAACTTTACAGTGTTTTCCAGTGGGAGAGTGTGGTATGTGTATTCTGCAAGTCCATTTAGAGAGAGACATTTGTAAAAAACAGGAACTCAAGACTATAGCAATCCCATTTGCCCGTCACATATTGCAGCGTGTTTTATTGTCAGGGTGCAGGGAACCCTGTGGAGAAAACTGGCCTACATGCAGCGGACAGAGGAGACAGGAGACTATTGTACTGCTCGCTGAGGTGCAGTTGCTGATCGTGCTTCTGCCTTCAGTAGAATGGGGGCTGTGTTTGGTTCTTTGATCGCCCTTTACGAGCCACAGCCTGATAAGGTCACTCAAGTGGAGCTTGTTTGACAAACCAAGATCTAGCTTGTCATCACATAGAAATCTGAGAACATCTGCCAGACACCAGGCATATACACCGTGCTCGTACATAGGGGGTTGACACTAGACAGAAGCCTTAACAGGCATGGGATCCTAGCCCATCTCTTACAGATGGAGAAACTGAGGCCCAAAGGGAGCCTCTTGCAGAGCTCACTATCAAGTAGAAGTAGACCTGGGGGCTCCTGCTCCTCCTGTGGGTGCTCTGTCTTCAATTCTATTGCAGCAGCCTCTTCTGCCTCTGACAGAGCATGGAGCATTGCCTCTGATTTTAGTTGCTAACCTTTTGTCACCAGTTTTGTGTGCTCTTGGGGTTTTTTTCCTCTCTCTTTGCCTCAAGTCATTTCCAAGGTGAATTTAGTATTTAAGATAGACACAAAATGGAAAACTAAGGAAAGATAGAATAGGGGTATTTAGTGTTGATATTTCCAAATTATTCCCATATGACTCACCATTATCTGAGGTTGTGCTGCAGAGACTTCCTTTCTCCCCCTCCCACCTTACCTCTTATTTCTCTTTTCCAAGAATTGCGATGGAAACCTACATCCGCCAGCGGCAGCTCATCATGTCACCTTTGATAACATCACATGTGACTGGGGAGAATGAGCCACTCACTTCAGTCTTGAATAAAGTGATTGCAGCAAAGGAAGTGAATCACAAAGGGCAAGGTACAGTCCAGTGCCAGAGCTGGGAGGGACTCTGCTGAGGGTGGGGGACATTCACAGCTGAGTCCTTGGACTCCTGCCCTTTATTATCTTTCTCTGATACAAAACAGCCTCTGCTGGGGACCTCAGGCTTCCTACCACAGGCTTTTAAGACTAAACTGCATTGAAATGCACCCAGCAGTGATTTGATCACAGTTGTGTTTTGTAAATTCTGTGGAACAAATTTTTATCCCATGAGTCTTTACTCTTTATTCATTTATTTATTTATTTATTTTGAGATGGTCTCATGTTGTCACCCAGGCTGGAGTGCAGTTGTGTGGTCTTGGCTTACTGCAGTCTCCACTTCCTGGGCTCAAGCAATCCTCCTACCTCAGCCTCCCAAGTAGCTGGGACTACAGGCAAGCACCACCATGCTCAGCTAATTTTTAAATTTTTTGTAGAGATGGGATTTTACTATATTGCCCAGGCTGGTCTCAACTTCTGGCCTCAAGTGATCCTCCCACCTTGGCCTCCCAAATCCCTGGAACTATAGGCATGAGCCACCGCTCCTGGCCTCCACATTTTTGTCTACTCTTCATTCCCAATGCCGACCCTAGATAATAATTATGCTCTATTCTGAATAAGTTTATCCCATCACATTTTTTAAAACTGAGAGGAAGGAAACCAAAGTAATACAGGTGAATATGTATTAATATAAAATAATGTAAAAATTTTAGTTTTCAGTATCTCCATATCATGCTCTGTTGATAGAGTTTTAACTAAGAGAAGTTCTGCTTATTGAAACTGCATTTTGAATCAAATAAGGAAAAGCAGTTTAAAGACGCAAATACCAAGGTGATGACCATATTTGTAAAATTTCAAACATTGAATACTTTGATTTTCCTTAATATTTTATAAATCTTTCACCTTTTACTAAAGATTTCCATGGAGAGGAACCACTCTGAGCTTTAATCAACTTTTTAAGACCTTGTGTTTGCAGAGCTTATGAAATTAGTTTAAAAAAACGAAGCAGCATTGTTGTCTGGGGTAATACCCAAGGGTTTGTTGTCCCATGCCAAGAAAATTAAGGACATGGACACACACAAAGATGGAGTTTAGGAGTGGAGGTTTAATAGGCAAAAGAAAGAGAAAGGAGAATAGTTCTCTGTCTCTCGTGAGAGATAGGGGCTCCCAGATTTTATAGGCAGGCTTGAGGAGGTGGTGTCTGATTTCTGTAGGGCCTACAGATTGGTTGGACCAGGTGTGACATTTACATCGCATGCGGGGAAGACTGGTCACTCCATTCTAATCTTATGCAAATGGGCTTTCCACCTGGCTGGTGCCATGTTGTCTACTTCTTACTTACTGTACACGTGGCTCTCAAAGAGAAGGGACGATGGAGATGCCATGTTGGACATGCCTAGCTCCAGGTAGCCCTTTCATATTGGCACAACTGCTGGCATTCACCCATGTGAGCTTCCAGCTTGCTTGTCTATGTCTGCAGCTCAATTTTACAGGCTAATCTTTGTTGGAAAAGAAAATGATTTGGGGGCTGCTTTTCATTAAGAGGAAAACCTTGCTGAGGATTTCCTTACCGTCACTATCTGTCTAAATAATTTCTTAACTCCTATTTCAAAACTATGTAGAGACTGGCCTGGGGGTGGCTCACGCCTATAGTCCCAGCACTTTGGGAGGCTGAGGTGGGCGGATCACAAGATCAGGAATTGGAGACCCTCCTGAACAACATAGTGAAACCTTGTCTCTACTAAAAATACAAAAATTAGCTGGGCATGGTGGCATGGCTGTAATCCCAGCTACTCAGGAGGCTGAGGCAGGAGAATCGCTTGAACCACAAAGTCAGAGATTGCAGTGAGCCGAGATTTTGCCACTACTCTCCAGTATGGTGACAGAGCGAGACTCTGTCTCAAAAAAAAAAAAAAAAATGTAGAGACTGAATTAGTTTGTACATATCAAAAATACAGAGACTGAATGACTTTTTTTACTACCCTGTAACTGTCTTCCAAAATGGAAGCAATCAGAAAACATGTTATTTTCATCATATTTAGTTTCTTATGTACTTGCAATTATCCTGCATAGGAAAGACATGCCAGGAATCAATAAAGAATCTGAAAACAAATAACTAAATATATTTCTGGTTTTATTTTTGTTTTTGTTTTTTTGAGATGGCGTCTCGCTCTGTCACCTAGGCTGGAGTGCAATGGTTCAATCCCGGCTCACTGCAACTTCCGTCACCTGGGTTCCAATGATTCTCCAGACTCAGCCTCCCAAGTAGCTGGGATTACAGACACCTGTCATCACACCTGGCTAATTTTTCTATTTTTAGTAGAGACGGGCTTTTACTATGTTAGCCAGGCTGGTCTCGAACTCCTGAAGTCAAGTAATCCTCCCACCTCGGTCTCCCAAAGTGCTGGGATTACAGGTGTAAGCCACTGTGCCTGGCCCTATTTCTGTTTTTTTTTAGAGCTCTTAACTAAGTATAATTTCAGCTGGAGTGGAAAACCTTTATACTAAACAGATTACCATGTATGTGTAATTTTTTTTAACAAAACTGAAAAAAAGTCATTTCCATTCTTGCTACCTAACTGCAAAACAAGCACTTTTCATTTTTTTCTTTCTTTTTTTCCCAAATACCATACTTCATGCCAAACAAGCACTTTCCAAATGTTTTTATGCTCTTCACAAATACTTTTTATGGCTGCATAGTATTCTAGCATTTAGACTTAAGAAGAGGGAATCCCCTAGATAAACACTTAAGTGCTTCCTAATTTGTCGTTATTACAAATATAAAAACCCGTACTCTGACTATCTTCATACATGAAGTCTTTTCCATGTTTAAGACTGTCTCCCCAAGAAAATTCCCAGAAGTTGGATTTCTAGATCACATGCTGGGAACAAGCCTACACCTGGAGATATAAATATTGCCAAATCGCTTGCCATAGATTTCTACCATGTGTGAGTGTTTATCTTACTGCACTCTTGGTTATGTTGCAAACTGATATTTAAAAATCATTAGGGCTGGGCGTGATGTCTCATGCCTGTAATCCCAGCACTTTGGGAGGCTGAGGCACGTGGATTACTTGAGGTTAGGAGTTCGAGACCAGCCTGGCTAACATGGTGAAACCCCATCTCTACTAAAAAATAATACAATAATTAGCCAGTGTGTTGGTGCACACCTATAATCCCAGCTACTGGGGAGGCTAAGGCGTGAGAATTGCTTGAACTCAGGAGTCAGAAGTTGCAGTGAGCTGAGATGATGCCACCGCATTCCGCCTGGGCAACAAAGTGAGACTCTGTCTCAAAGAAAGAAAAAAAAGAAAAATGGTTTGTTCTCAGAGGTTTAATAACTATACACTTCTTTTTCCTTTTAACATTCTGCCTTCTTTTTCTATGTAATTCATTATTGGGAATTTATTTTAATGAAAATACAAGATGAGAAATTAAATTTTCTTAGGTAGCAAGAAAATAATCCCAGCATATTCATGTAATTATTGGATTTTTTTCATGATTTGTTATGCCTCTTTTGCCATATATTAAATTGCTATATACTATAGTATTTCATTGTTTCATGTATATGTCTTTTTTTTTTTTTACCACTAGTATCACAGATCATTGTAGCTTTACCATATATTCTGGTATCTGGTAGGGCCTATCTTTACCCTTTTTTTCCCCCAAAGTTAGCATCTGTTCACATCTCTGTCGAATTCTCAAAGAGGTCATGTTGTGATTTTAATGGAAGTGTCATTAAAATTATAGGTCAACTGGGGGAGAATTTACATCTTTATAGTAAGATTGTGACTATACAATTTAAATGTTCTTCTCAACAGTTATGCATGTGTTATACAGATCATACAAAGAACTAAAAATTTATCTTTTATTTGTTTAAAGGACTTTGGGTATCCTTGAAGCTCTTGCCAGGTGACCTCACACAGGTTCAGAAGAATTTTTCACACTTGGTTGATAGATCAACAGCAATAGCCCGGAAGATGGGCTTTCCTGAAATCATACTGCCAGGTGAGCACTTTGCATGGCTCACCTGTTTGCTTCCTCCTGTGCAGCGATTGTTTCTTATTGGACGGTGGAGGCAACTTGGATCCAGAAGACTTGGTTGTTTACATTCATTGGTCCTGAGGCGACTGGGACACAAACAGAGACACCTGCAGTACTTAAGAAGCTACCCAGTGTGCAAGCCCAAGATAATGCTTTTAAACATAACTCAAATTTTCTTACTGTCTCTTTTACACAGACTCTTTCAGATAGCACAGGGTGCTCCGTTCAGGAGACTAATTGGCCTCATTTGTGTGTCCCTTTCTCGTTATGACGTCCCCAGCACGTGGGCGCCTTGCTCTCTCCATTCTCTGCAGCTCCAAAAGTGCTCTGGCTCTCCCTGTTCTTGTTGTGATGAGAATGTCAGCATTTTCCTGTTTCATCTTCTTTCTAGTGATCTGCATATGTGTGTGTTCTCTCGATTCGCTGATTCCACCCATTTAATTTTAATCTCCGTACTAAGAAAAGGGAATCAGTCCCTCAAATTTTATACATGTTGCTATAAACTAACTGATATTAATAGAAATTCTAGAAAAACAACCATGCAATGTTAGAAAAATTCTAGAAAACCAACTTATCTGTTGCACAAAAATCTAGGTTATTTTAGGCCAGGCATGGTGGCTCATGTCTGTAATCCCAGCAGTTTGGGAGGCCGAGGCAGGCAGATCACTTGAGGTCAGGACTTTGAGTCCAGCCTGGCCAACATGGTAAAACCTGTCTCTATCAAAAATACAAAAATTAGCTGGGCACGGTGGCAGGTGCCTGTAGTCCCAGCTACTCAGGAGGCCGAGGCATGAGAATCGCTTGAGCCCGAGAGGCAGAGCTTGCAGTGAGCTATGATTGTGCCACTGTACTCCAGCCTGGGTGACAGAGCAAGACTCTGTCTCAAAAAAAATAAAAATAAAAATAAAAAATTAGGTATTTTAAAGTAATACAAGATCTTATTTCTCCTTTGAGAAATTAAGGGGCAGTGATAACTTGTTGCTGCCTACACTCTCTACATGTAGTGAGTCTTGAATGAATATTTGTGGAATGAATGAATAAAAAAGTAATAAAATGGAGATCACTCTTTTTTTCTTTTTCTCATAAAAGAAGATAGTTTTTTGCTTATTTTGTCCATTACATGGCCATTTTACCCTGATATACATTCATCAACATTCTGGGAAAATGTTTTGTCTTCTTGTTAAAGAAAAATTTTACTGCTACGACAAGACACAAATCTGAAAACATAAAGTAGAGGAGTTTATTCTTTGATCAAGGTGACAGCAGGGTTGGCTTCTCCTGAGGCCTTTGAATAAGGTGAATTTACCTTTGAAATCTGGCTTGTAAAATAACATTAAGGTTTTTTTTGTTTGTTTTTTGTTTTTAAGTCAATAGGATTGGTTCATAGAATGCCAAGGGCTACATCGGTTTTAAAATTCATCTAGAATATGGCCAGGCAAGATGGCTTACATCTGTAATCCTGCACTTTGAGAGGCTGAGATGGGTGGATCACTTGAGGTCTGGAGTTCAAGACCAGCCTGGCCAACATGGTAAAACCCCATCTCTATTCCAAACACAAAAATTAGCTGGGCAAGTTGATATGCACCTGTAATCCCAGTTACTTGGGAGGCTGAGGCAGGAGAATTGCTTGAACCCGGGAGGTGGTGGTTGCAGTGAGCTGAGATTGTACCACTGCACTCCAGGATGACACAGCAAGACTCTATCTCAAAAAGAAAAAAAAGCCGGCAGTGGTGGTGCATGCCTGTAATCCCAGCTACTTGGAAGGCTGAAGTGGGAGGATCACTTGAACTCAGGAGGCAGAGTTTGTAGTGACGTTAGATCGTGCCACTGCACTCCAGCCTGGGCAATAGAGAAGACTCTGTCTCAAGAAAGAAAGACAAAAAAAAAATCATCTAGGGGGACGGTTCCAAGATGGCCGAATAGGAACAGCTCCAGTCTACAGCTTCCATTGTGAGCGACACAGAAGACGGGTGATTTCCGCATTTCCAACTGAGGTAACAGGTTCATCTCACTGGGGCGTGTCGGACAGTGGGTGCAGCCCACTAAGCGTGAGCCGAAGCAGGGTGAGGCATCGCCTCACACGGGAAGCTCAAGGGGTCAGGGAATTCCCTTTCCTAGCCAAACAAAGCAGTGACAGACGGCACCTGGAAAATCAGGTCACTCCCACCCTAATACTGCACTTTTCCAATGGTCTTAGCAAACGGCACACCAGGAGATTATATCCCACGCCTGGCTCAGAGGATTCCACGCCCATGGAGCCTCGCTCATTGCTAGCACAGCAGTCTGAGATCAAACTGCAAGCTGGCAGCGAGACTGGGGGAGGGGCGCCCACCATTGCTGAGGCTTGAGTAGGTAAACAAAGCTGCCAGGAAGCTCGAACTTGGTGGAGCCCACCTCACTTCAAGGAGGCCTGCCTTCCTATGTAGACTCCACCTCTAGGGGCAGGGCATAGCCAAACAAAAGGCAGCAGAAACCTCTGCAGACTTAAATGTCCCTGTCTGACAGCTTTGAAGAGAGTAGTGGTTTTCCCAGCACAGAGCTTGAGATCTGAGAACGGACAGACTGCCTCCTCAAATGGGTCCCTGACCCCCAAATAGCCTAACTGGGAGACATCCCCCAGTAGGGGCCGAGTAACACATCACACAGCCAGGTACCCCTCTGACACGAAACTTCCAGAGGAATGATCAGGCAGCAACATTTTCTGTTCAGTAATATTCGCTGTTCTGCAGCCTCCACTGCTGATTCCCAGGCAAACAGGGTCTGGAGTGGACCTCCTGCAAACTCCAACAGACCTGCAGCTGATGGTCCTGACTGTCAGAAGGAAAACTAACAAACAGAAAGGACATCCACACCAAAACCCCAACTGTACGTCACCATCATCAAAGACCAAAGGTAGATAAAACCACAAAGATGGGGAAAAAACAGAACAGAAAAACTGAAAATTCTAAAAATCAGAGTGCCTCTCCTCCTCCAAAAAATGCAGCTCCTCGCCAGCAGTGGAACAAAGCTGGACAGAGAATGACTTTGACAAGTTGAGAGAAGAAGGCTTCAGACGAACAAACTTCTTCGAGCTAAAGGAGGAAGTGCAAACCCATAGCAATTAAGTTAAAAACCTGAAAAAAGATTAGACAAATGGCTAACTAGAATAACCAATGCAGAGAAGTCCTTAAAGGATCTGATGGAGCTGAAAACCATGGCACGAGAACTACATGACGAATGCACAAGCTTCAGTAGCCAATTCGATCAACTGGAAGAAAGGGTATCAGAGATGGAAGATCAAATGAATGAAATGAAGCGAGAAGAGAAGTTTAGAGAAAAAAGAATAAAAAGAAACGAACAAAGCCTTCAAGAAGTATGAGACTATGTGAAAAGACCAAATCTACATCTGATTGGTGTACCTGAAAGTGATGGGGAGAATGGAACCAAATTGGAAAACACTCTTCAGGATATTATCCAGGAGAACTTCCCCAACCTAGCAAGGCAGGCCAACATTCAAATTCAGGAAATACAGAGAATGCCACAAGGATACTCCTTGAGAAGAGCAACTCTAAGACACATAATTGTCAGATTCACCAAGGTTGAAATGAAGGAAAAAATGTTAAGGGCAGTCAGACAGAAAGGTCGGATTACCCACAGAAGGAAGCCCATCAGACTAACAGCAGATCACTCAGCAGAAACTCTACAAGCCAGAAGAGAGTGGGGACCAGTATTCAACATTCTTAAGGAAAAGAATTTTCAACCTGAAATTTCATATCCAGCCAAACTAAGCTTCATAAGTGAAGGAGAAATAAAATCCTTTACAGACAAGCAAATGCTGAGAGATTTTGTCA